CGGCCTCACCAGCTATGGCCCGAGCCAGCATGGTTTTACCCGTGCCGGGTGGGCCCACCAGGAGTACACCTTTCGGGAGCTTGCCACCAAGACGCGTAAAACGCTGTAAAATGAAAAAAGGAAATGCTTAGTTGAAAATTTGTAGAGATATCTTATCAGTTATCACTAATCCCCCCTTTAACTCCACTAATTAGGAACTATGGTACCTGGACTCGGATATGGGTGGCGTATCGGGTGTGGAGATATGAGCGTCCGACTCGTCAATAGTTTAGAAATCTTGAATATTTTAGGCTAAAATGCCACACCCGACACTCATACCCACACCAGTGTCAACACAACATGACACGGGTATTCTTCCTAAATAGAAGAGTCCGTGTAACATAGATTAGGAAAGCCAAGGCCCGATTATCAATATGCGAATTGTAAAGTAGAAAGTAATATAAAGGGGTTACTCTGTAAATTAAATAAGTTAACCTTTCCAATTATATGGCCAAAAAGACTAGCTGAAATAACAAGTCATGGATAGATCAAATGTAGGAAAAAAAATCAATTTTGGACCGTTTACTTGCCTAAAAGTCCTTTTTTGGTACACTGTCTTTCTCCTTATAAAAAATAGTACATTATGTTGCAATTTGTATCATTTTTGGGACATTACTCACAAAAAAATAGTACGTTATGTTGCAATTTGTATCATTTTTGGGACATTACTCATAAATGTTTCAATTTGTATCATATTAGGGACATTAATCCCAAAAAGTAACGTACCACTTTAGGGATTAATGTCTCAATAATGATACAAATTGCAACATAATGAACTATTATTGATGAGGGAAAAGTTAGTATGAAAAAAAGACTTTCGACAAGTAAACGGACCAAAATTGAATTTTTTGCCATCAAAAGTAACACTAAATTTTCTATCTTTATGAAGATGTGTGATGCAGAGTTTACCTTAGGATCACGAAGGTAGTGAACAATTTCTTCCAGCTCAGATTTCGCCTCATCAACTCCTTTCACATCACTAAACTTCGTATTAGATTCCATACTGGGTTGCACCTCTTCATGCAAGCCGAGTCCTAGAACACCAATCATCAAACAATAAAAGTATGAATATGTCCATACTGTTAAAAAAAAAGGATATAAAAAGAAAAAAAATAAATAAATGTGCCATGTAGAGATACACGATTACCTTTACCGATCCCTCTATCCTCGATCAGTGCCCCAACACCAGAAATCAGGAGAAAGGCCAAACCCAAAGCACGGACAGTTCTCCACAACTGCTCCTTGAAATTTCCACCTTCGGCAGTCACCATGTGTATAGGAGCGCCAGCTGTACCAAGGATTCCATCTTTTGAAGA